CGTTTGGATATTTTATTGAAAATGAAAAAATTTTAACATAAATCAATTCAATACATACCAGGGCCGGATCGTGAGCTCGGTTTTAGGGGGGAAATAAAAATCAAAAATTTTGTACGCCCACGTATGATAGACATTTTATTTTATTATATTATATATTGTTTATGAATGAATTATATTTTTACAAATCATATGTTTTGAGTCATATGTTTTTGAGAAAAATACACCGTTGTAATTTTAAAAGTTCAAAATTACATTTCTCGACTGAAAAATAAGATATTCCAGCTAGCTCAACGGCACACAGTGGCAATATTTTCATATGAAGCAAAATGGCTTTGAAAGCTAATTTAATTGCCTTTAAAGGAAAAATATTGCCATTGAGCCACAGCCACTCCCTGACCTTAAAAAAATTGGTAAAAAAAGTGCTCTTTGAAAAAAAAAACTATACTAATATTATAGATTTTGAGACGAGAAACACGATTCCACTGTTTAAAATGCGAAAAAAAATTCAACCCCTTAATTTGAAAAATGTATTATATATTGAATTTTTTTTATTTGCATACAGCTGTGCATCCTTCACACAATTTTTATCACTCGAACAAAAGTCAGTTTGAGTGCTAGTGAAGACCTTTAATTTAAGCCAAGGTAGAAGTCTCTAGGCCCTTTGAGTGCTAAATTATTTCGATTCTAAAGTTAAACTTCGAAATTTCATTCAACATTTTACGTATTTTTTTTCTAATTTCGGAGTAAAAACTAGTACAGCAGTTTCGAAGTTTGGTTTAAATTGTTATAACTTGGCTCTCAGAGGGCCTAGAGGCTTCAACCTTGGCTCAAATTAAAGATCTTGAATTGCACTTATTGTTCGGGGGATATAAAATTGAGTGAAGGATGAACAGCTGCATGCAACTAGAAAAAAATGCAATAAATAATGCATTTTTAAATTAAGGAGTTCAAATTTTTCTTCGAATTTTGAACAGTGGAAACGTGTTGCTCATCTCAAAATCTATAATACTAGTATAATAAAAAATACATACATTTTTTGTTTTGGAATAAATCCCGTGTATTTTGCATTTTTTTTTTTTGAAGAACACTACTTTTGACCAATTTTCCCTGGAAATTTCCCCTATTTCATGCAGAAATAAACCAAGACCGGAACGCGTTCTCAGTCCCTGAAAAAAATTCAAAGTACTGCAAAAGAATGCGTTCCAATGACTGGATTCAAATGACTAACAAAAAGTGACTAAAAGAATGCAATCCAATGGGTGAAATCAAGTGACTAACAAGAAATGATAAAAAAAGTGATTTATGAATCATAAATCAAAAAAAAAAAGAATAAAGACTAATTTTTTTTTAGTCTTAGTCACGACTAACAAACAATGATTGCAATCACTCGGGACTAGAGATGGGCACGGGCCTAGATTTTCAGGCCCGGCCCGGCACGAGTGCAAAATCAACTTTCAAAAACACGCACGAGCCCGCACGTTAAGAATTTTAGTGGGGTCCAGCCCGGCCCGGCACGACGGACACGTCCCAGCCCGGAAATAAAGAGCCAACTTTTATTGCATGTATA